GGGGATGCCCAGGCCAAGACGGCCCAAGCCTGCTCCCGAGCCTGCGGGGCGGCCAGCCGAGTCCCACCCTCCGTGAGGAGTGGTAGAGATGCCCAGTGTGTCCAGGGTCACGGGCCACACTGGGCCAGCCCCTCTCTCCTGCTCCAGGACTTGACCCTGCACTTTCCTGTTCCCTGGTGTCGTCTTGTCTTTCCTCCTCTCTCAGCACACAGATGATCCTGGCTTCAGCTGAAACAGAAAAGCAAGTAGCTAACAAAATCAACCCCTCCAAGGCCGATTTGGCTCAGTAGATAGAGCGTCGGCCTAGGGACTGAAAGGTCCCAAGTTCGATTCCGGTCAAGGGCACATGCCTGGGTTTGGGTTGGATCCCCAGTAGGGGGTGTGCAGGAGGCAGCCGATCAATGATTCTCTCCCATTGATGATGTTTCTATCTCTCTCTCCCTCTCCCTTCCTCTCTGAAATCAATAAAAATATTAAAAAACAAAACAACCCCCATCACTTCCCTGCTCTGCCTCCTGGCAGCAGTCCTCAGAGGCTGGCTCCGCCCAGGGTCCCACTCCCTCGCCTGGACTTGCATCACTGCATTCCCAGGGTCCCATCTCAAGGTCAGGCTGCCCTCTGCTTTCACCTCCACTTTCATATCCCACCCCTCCGCACCCCACCCCTCCGCACCCCACACCTCCACCTCCCACACCTCCACACCCCACACCTCCCCATCCCACATCTCCACCTCCCACACCTCCACACCCCACACCTCCCCATCCCACATCTCCACCTCCCACACCTCCACACCCCACACCTCCCCATCCCACATCTCCACCTCCCACACCTCCACACCCCACACCTCCCCATCCCACATCTCCACCTCCCACACCTCCACACCCCACACCTCCCCATCCCACATCTCCACCTCCCACACCTCCACACCCCACACCTCCCCATCCCACATCTCCACCTCCCACACCTCCACACCCCACACCTCCCCATCCCACATCTCCACCTCCCACACCTCCACACCCCACACCTCCCCATCCCACATCTCCACCTCCCACACCTCCACACCCCACACCTCCCCATCCCACATCTCCACCTCCCACACCTCCACACCCCACACCTCCCCATCCCACATCTCCACCTCCCACACCTCCACACCCCACACCTCCCCATCCCACATCTCCACCTCCCACACCTCCACACCCCACACCTCCCCATCCCACATCTCCACCTCCCACACCTCCACACCCCACACCTCCCCATCCCACATCTCCACCTCCCACACCTCCACACCCCACACCTCCCCATCCCACATCTCCACCTCCCACACCTCCACACCCCACACCTCCCCATCCCACATCTCCACCTCCCACACCTCCACACCCCACACCTCCCCATCCCACATCTCCACCTCCCACACCTCCACACCCCACACCTCCCCATCCCACATCTCCACCTCCCACACCTCCACACCCCACACCTCCCCATCCCACATCTCCACCTCCCACACCTCCACACCCCACACCTCCCCATCCCACATCTCCACCTCCCACACCTCCACACCCCACACCTCCCCATCCCACATCTCCACCTCCCACACCTCCACACCCCACACCTCCCCATCCCACATCTCCACCTCCCACACCTCCACACCCCACACCTCCCCATCCCACATCTCCACCTCCCACACCTCCACACCCCACACCTCCCCATCCCACATCTCCACCTCCCACACCTCCACACCCCACACCTCCACATCCCACATCTCCACATCCCACACCTCCACACCTCCACACCTCCACATCCCACACCTCCACCTCCCACACCTCCACCTCCCACACCCCACAGCACTGCCTCCCACGCTGGGGACACTGCCTCGCTGGGCCTTTGAGACTCCACCGTCCCTGGTTCCCCTCCTCTCTGCCCTGCCATCCATCACCAGGGCACGCCCTCTCTATGATTCCCAGTAGATGCTGGAGCACAGGCAGTGTTGTCCTACGTGTACTGTGTGTTTCCTGTGCACCCTCACCTTGTCCCTTCAAGGAAGCACTTCACAGCCTCTCTGTGGCACATCCAAATTGCCAGCATCACTATTCTTGCTCTTTCTGGCCATTTTTAAATAAAATAAGGGTGACTTTAACACAAGCACTGAGATACCAGTGGATGTGATGACTGAGCCGGCTGCTCATGATTGATGGGCAGAACGCCGTGGACATGCAGAGCAAAGGGGTGATCCGCACCCAGGGCCGTCCGGAGCAGGAGGGCCGAGGTTTCGTCACATCACTCAGAATGGTGTGCCATCTCACACCTGCTGACATTTTGCATTTAATATTTTCTGACCACAGCTGACTTCAGAAAGTGAAACCACAGGTAAGAGCTGACTACTATAAGGGGTTTTTGTCTCTCTGCTTAAGCTGTGAGCTCCATGGGGGGAAGGAGGGCTGATCTGGGCTGTTTTTTCTCTGTCCTGAGCATCCAGACCAGTGCCTGGCACTCAAGAACGTTCTGCTGGAAAAGACTGAGGAAATGGGCCACCGTTTAGGGTCCCAACAAAGCACCGAATTTCGTGTGAGTGAGCACGTAATCATGTATTGGTTTCCTACGGCTGCTGTAACAAATTACCACAAGTTTGCTTAAAGCAACAGAAATTCATTCTCTCACTGTTCCTTTAGAAATCAGAAGCCCGAAATCCAGATGCCAGCAGACCCAAGGCTGTAGGGAGAATCCTCCCTTCCCTCCTCCCCTCCCCGGTGGCTCCTGGCACTCCTCGGCTCAGTGAAAGCACAACGCCATTCTGCTCCATCGCCTTCTCCTGTGTCTGTCTGTGTCCAAATCTCTCTTTTCTCTTCACTTGATCTTAGTCAAAGGCGGAGAAGTGCTACTCCCCCTTTCTATAAAGACATCAGTCATTGAATTTACAGCCACACTAGATCCAGGACCTCAAAATGTTTCACTAACTACACGTGCCAAGACCCTATTTCCAAACAAGGCCACATTCTGAGGTTTCTGGTAGACATTGTTTTGGGGGAGCGACACTGCTCAGCCCACTGCAGTAAGTTTAGGTCTCCCGTGATATTTAGATGGTCTAGGTACCACCTACCAGAGACTCACCTATTGGGTTGCAAAGATCATTTTAGTTCTTCAAGTGTTTTTTATAAAGGAGACATTCTTAAATTGATGGGGCCAATAGAGATATGCCATTTTAATCAAAAAACTCAAACATGTACTAGTATAAATGGATTTTCTTATTTTCTTATGTGTGATTTTTCATTTTTGCCTTGAGCTCCTGTTGCACCTCATGGGAAGATCAGGCTAGACATGTTCAGTCTTTTCCTCAGTCATTTCAGATGGAAATAGATTGAGTTCTGATTCCCGCCCGCCACCATCTCTCCCATCTCTGTTTGCATTCAGAGCCTGGGGAGCTCTGTGAGCAGGGCTCTGGGCTCTGTCTGCACCCCTGGGGTAGCCATCAGGCCAGAGCACACAGACCTCCAGACCTCCTGGCCATCTGTCCCTGCCACAATACCACAATATGGGCAAGGACCCCACACCATCATCTGATGTCCTCGTGTTAGCTCGAACTATGCTGCCCTCTGCTCCTTCCTTCACTTTAACCAGGCCGGGGTGCGGGGCGGGGGAGAGGGTGAGGGGGATGGGTACTATTGGAGGTACCAAGCCCGGTGGATGGGAGACAGGCCAGTTCTGCCAAAGGCTAAAGGCGTGTCTCCTGTGGAGCACCATTGTCCATGGTGGTGGTGCTGCTGCTGGTGGTGAGGGG